CGCAAAAAGTTCGGCAGATCTTTGGGTCTCCTCTATTTTAATGAAGTCCGCCTTGATACTTTCCTTTCCGTGACGCAGACGTCTCAAAACGCATCTGTCGATAGTGCACTTGCATTATGACTTGCCAAGAAAATTATGACGTTCCGGGTCCGATTACCAATCTGTGTCTTGTTTTATCGAGCCTCAGATGCAGTTCAAATCGGCACGGCAGAGTGCAGCTATTTTCATGGCTTCTGCTTATCTCTGACTGCTGTAACTGTTAACAGTTCATTCGGGGTGCGAACCCCCGGGAACTATTGTCAACGCCTCCAACCCTTCATCCAGTCTAACTTCGAGACGCTGAGCACGTTGTGAGAGCTAGATCGCAGAAATGTATAATTCGCGAGTCTCGGGCAGCACTATTTCCTCAATCGATCAGAGCAGGCCTTTTTACCACTTCCAGCCCTCAAGTAGCCGGAGTTAATCGTAGTGAATAATATTTTATTGTTAGCGGACAATTCAAAAGCGTGCAATGCTACTGCTAAATCGTGGTATCGCTAAATCCGAGATCACCCTAAAAGACTGAATGAGCAGTTTTAAGAACCATTCGTGAAACTAGCGCTTGTTTACACAGGACAAATCAGGAACTAATGAAACCAAGCTTCGACTGGCAAATCAATCACCTTCGAATAATGCGATTCGTTATGACATTTATCTGGAAAAAATACGATCTAGTACTTTGGTCAGCAAAGCGCCAGGTTAGCAGTCGAAATATCATACGGGTCCCTCATCTTTAATCCTTTCGCAATAAATGAGTTAGACAAAAAACGATCACTATGTTGTAAGAACCAGGGGACCCTATGCTGCAATGACCACCTGACTGAAGACATCATAACCAAGATCAGCCCTGCTCTACATGCTCTACGAATAAAAGATGTCCCGAATAATGACCCATAAAAATTCAGCTATGGAAGAGGGGTAAGTTAGTCCAAAGCTAATCTTGGTATTATCCCATTGCTGCATTTCAAAAAATATTTTATGAATTCCACAACTGAAAACTAAAGGAAATACTTACTGATAAAAGTATTCCCCATTAAGACGATGAATTTCCGCGATGCAATCTTTGCTGAAGTTCTGCTTTTCAGCAAGGCTACAGAAAAAATATCGTTATAGCATTATATAAATATCGTTCACAAAATTCAAACAATTTATAAAGATAGCTAGTGTAAAATAACGCCAGATGCTAGCCGAATTCATTGCAGCCTCCAAAAACCACAATGACGCGTTGTAAAATGTTTATGCTAAAACAGTACGCGCGTGTAGGCATAAGATTGAAACCGAAATTAAGCCTTACATTAGCCTCTCACGCGCTTCTCATGAGCGGATTCCACAATTTCTGGCATCTATTGACAGTGCGCTACGTAATGCGGACTTACGCCAACGCTTGGAGACAAAATTTCCAACCGCGCAATCCGCCGCACCAGCGCTCAACGTGATGACAGGTAACTTCCCTACTGCACATAGGTAATTTGCTTCATTATCCAGTAATAGTAAGCTGGATGACATCAACCATGCGACTTATTGATACCATCTGTTGTATTGACTGTCACTGAAGCTCCAATCTCAATCAATCAAACGCTTGAGCTGGAGGACTGAGGGAAGGGGCATTTTCGGTCAGATCGCAGCAGACTGTGTTTCCGTATGTATCTTCTCCTCTGTTTCTGAAAAGCTAAATGGATGATAATTTTGTCGCTAAAGGCCAAACAGGTGAAGTTAATTATCACTTTCGCCCATGATCCGGTGCATCGGCTATCAGGTGACGGTGACAAACATGGTCCCAATGACTGCCTGCAATCAGCTGTAACAGATACGTAGAGCCGTAAAATCATGGTTATTATAGCGGTGGCAACGTGCAGGGTCGCACCGAGGACACCGTTTGGCGAGGCGAATTCGTTCCCACAAAATCGATACCGCAAATTACAACGGCAGACGTATGCTAAGCTTCTGTGCGACAAATGGCATAATCGTCCGAGAGGCTTTATTCCCTCACTGACAACTTCACAAAACCACATGGGCGTCCGGCAGTACCACAGACATATCAGTCACAAATGGGGCACTTCATTAACCAGAAACTCGCATCAAACGTGATGCCTGCACTGCTTCGATTACCACATGGCAGAAACTGAACCGAAACTACCTTGCCATATAACATCGACGTTAGTTACATGAGGTATCGAGAGCCAGGCAAATTCTTTCCTTGCAGCAGAGCAGCGGAAGGCGCCGTGCAGGAATTCAGTGCAAATATGACACGCGATTATTACCATTCAGAAGCAATCCCGAGCAGGTTTATTCTTGTGACATAACGACGAACAACGTCGCTTATAAAATACTCTATGCAACTGCGACGTCAATGGCATCAAATCAACTTCTTCATCTTCATCTTCCATGATTGCTTTTCCTTTCGGATTACGGAAGCAGACGGCATACAGTGCTTCATCGTTCCTGATCCAATGGCACCAAATGACGTTAAAAAATCAAACTTAGGTCCAATAAAATACAACAGTTTCTCGATGGTGATAGTTCAAAGGTCGCAAACTGTCTTACCAAAACGGAGAGAGACATCTGCCCTAGCATCTCCGTAACGTCTAGTCGGTACGTGGCAATGTCTATGGAGACCTCAGAAAATGCGCTAATTTCACTGCAAAATACACGAAGTCAGTGGGAGGAAAGTCCCATCACTCTGGTTACAAACAATTCATCGCTCTAAGGTACCGACAAATCAGACGATGAACGAGCGCTGCAATATTCTAATGTTTCCTCCAAGGCAACGGATCATGTTTCCTGTCCGTTTTTGCCATTACCCTGCCCTACCGACGTGACAGAAACATGTGGCTAAATGGAGAATCGGAAAGATCGACAAAGCATTCAAAGTGACTGGCGAATTGCATTCTGAGAAGTAGACAGTTATACGATAAAGAGGTAACCCCACCCATGCCCATTTACGGTGAAAACAGTGAACCATTATCACACCATCAGAAAAAAACCTTCAAACAGGAATGAATATTTCCAACAGTTGTTTAACAACAGCCCGCCAAATTCGCACCTATGAAATCCCTAATTCCTCGTCAAAACTAAAGGTTGGTGTCATAAACTTATAAAAAAGAAATTCAAAGCGCGTTGCTACACCTGATGATGAAGAAACCCAGTAATGTGGATCGAATCCCTCTAGAGTTAATCAATAATAGAAATATCAATCATACTAGTAATTAGCATAGCTAATTATGCTATAAAAATTACCTTTTTAAACATTAAGTTTGAAGATCAATATTGTTCACTGCGAATATCTGCCACGCAGAGTTCAACCACTTGATAAATATTACTATTAATATGATTAATTTTCACTAAATCAAGGCCTAATAATGACGGTTTACCTTATAGCGAGGTCGTAGAGATTTTTGCGACAAAGTATGTCAAGCTTGACATTTGTGTCAAGTTCCTTCAGCTTGAACAAACGGCCGGAAACCGTGAGAACGAAAAATGCCTGCCATGCACTAAACACATGTGACACCTGAGGAACCGGAGCGATGTAAGCTAAAGAACTATAGCATAAGCTGATGCGAACCGACTTTATCTTACCGATGTATTGATTTCCGATGTCGTACACCGTCAGCAGATTCATCTTATCGTCCACTTCACTTCTAAAAATTCACAATTTTCTGCCATCATGCAATAGCAACGCCAAATGCGCAACTCATAAGGCGACCCGGTAGGTAAGCCCTATGCCAATATTAAATGCATTGATGTTTCTGTTTAAATGCTTTAGATTTAGTACCATTACAAGTAATGAAAACAATATAAAACATGATATATTAATAAACAACTCAAGTATTTGGTCAATCGTATGATTAAACAGTAACAATGCTTTGGATTTCTGGCTTGAAACATAAGAACAACTGCGAACGATAAACAGAACTCTGCAACCAACCCAATTCTTTACATTAAAGAAGGGGCTTGTCAATCATCTGACTAACGAACCATTTGCGTTGTGTTACAGTAAACCGTATTTTTTGCTGCTTCCAGCATAACCATCAACACACGAAAGAAATACTCAATCGACGTCCAAAGGCAAAGTAAATATACAACAGCTTATTCGCACAATAGCTACCATAGACAACGGCACATTTCAGTTTGGTTTCTTTGCTGAGGCAAGGTCAAATACTTTGGAGCGCTTTAGCAAATAGGAGATGGCAAAAAACCTCAGACAGAGGTCAGCTGCACAAATACAGGAAATCTGGAAAAAGACAGTCGCAAGCAATGCGACGTTGTGCTGCGGAGGCGAGGCTGTAAAATCAGTGACGAGTTTGACAGTAGGAAAGCTATTCAAAAAAACCTCATGATAGCAGTGTGACATGACTCGACCGTGAAGCCATTACATAAACGTGCAGTCGAAGTCGCGAAGCCACAATTCATTTGAGGAGTAGAGGTAGTTGTAGAACCTCGCGCTTTCATGCAATACCTATCTGTGATTCTTATTTCTCTCTCGTTTTTTAGTACTAGCGCTACCCATTTACTTTAGGAGGCACTTTCCCGTGAGCTTCAGGCTATTCTTCTTTACTACGGACTCTCTTACCTCCGTTCTTCTGTACTCATCATAACCCTCACCAATCTTCTTTCGAATTTCTTTGTTCAATGCCGTGTACTTGTTGTCCAGTTGCCCACCAACCCTCCTTCAGGCTTTTCTACCAAACAGCTGCTTCGTTGCACGACTTATGCGCTGCTTCCTCGTCGACATGCTAGCAAGCTCGATTACCGTACAGTAAGTTTAACGGTATCAGAAAGGGATAAGGTACTAGTAGCCTACGTCGATGCCATTGATGACGTACATTACGAGGTGCAGCTGAGAAAGGTTGTTCGCGAAAGCCTCACGATCGAATATTCGTCCAATAGCGGGTAGTCTTTGAGCCCTTCTAATTTGATCTCTTTAAGCAACATCGATTGTAACTGAGAGCAGAATATTTTCTTCCATGACACCGTGCAAACGATGTTTTCTTAAATGACAGACGCAGGTGATTGTTCGCCATGTTCCAGTCATCCAGTAGTCGATTTGGTTAACGGCTGTTCCACAGGTCTCCTCCACGTCCAGTGCCGCTTCGCGGCTTTCCCAAGCATGCCATTCATCAAGGAGGCGGTTGCTTTCGGCAAGAGCTGACGAGGGAGCCACGTTCGTCTCGCTCTCAGCTTCCAAACCGGCCGATAAAATGCTGTCTCAGCTGTTTCGTTTCTTCCTATAGTGTAGAAACACGACTATGCATGTTGATGTCGTACCGCGTTTTCTAGTTCCTCGTACAACTGCTCCACTTTTTCATCGTCCTCTTGCTTTGTCGTGCTGTAAACCTCGATTATCTTTAGTGATCTACTCTTATCCACCCGTAGAATTAGTACAGCGACACGAGGTGACATGATGTCGCAGCTGACTACGAGCGATACATACATATCCTTTACAATGAGTCCTAGATCGGCTGCCTGAGCCCGGTTTTCATATGACTTCCAGAGGGATATTTGATCGCTGTTGTAACACTGTGCGACAACCTTGGCGTAACTTGGGGTTTTGCACACGTCGAGAACATCTGCTTTATCCATCTTTGCCTGCGATGTGGATGTCGACGAGCACGTCTGACGACAGAGTTCTGGTGCTGTGGTTAGCGAAGATATTGATGATGTAGTTTAACC